ATTTGCACATCAACACGAAGTGTTCTGTGAGCCAAAAATAGGAATCGTTGATGAACCCTGCGGCGATCCTGCCGTCGGCGAGCACTCGACACGATAGCGGCCAGCCATTGATACTGAAAAACAGTGCCAAACCGTACGCTGCTTTTAATAAATCTCAAACTCTAGTGAAACATCAAATCCTTTCTGTTGTACCATGGTTGTACAGTCCATCCATATTTCTTGAGATAAAAAAATAGGTACCCATTCACAAAACGCCTGTAAATTCAAGGATCTTTCTCGCACAGTATTACGTAGATCTATTACACGGCACCGAAACATGTCAAAATACACTCCGTCTTCCCTCTCGTCAAAAACGCCGTCCGTGCAAGTCATGTGTGCTTCCAAATAGTCCGCGGAAACCGCTGGCATATTGCCGGTAGCTCGGGCGATCGCGATCTTCGGTCTGCATCGGCGCGTGTGACGTCATGATCGGGCTCATTTGTATGCAGGCGTCTGCCTTTTGACTACATGGACTACAAAGGACGCCGCCGGAGGGCGTAAACCCAGATGCCGCGGGTGAAACTGCACATCAAGTAAATACGAAGTTTGGCTGGTAAAAAAAGGAATTAAAATTAAGATCTCAGTTGATTGCCACTTTCTAAATTTTTGCAAATTATGACATTTTCGAAACATGCTACTCAAGTACGTACATTTTTATAATAATTTCAGAATATTTATAATATTTTCAAAAATAAAAACATTGAGAAAAATATTAAAAGGTATTATTTTTAAAAAAACACGCGGTGACTTGGAATGGACTCTATAAGAGCGCACGTACAGCACATGAATCCAGGTAAAAATCTATCAAAAGTTGTAAGACATAAAAGAACATATACTACTTGTGATGAAAGCTCCTTGTATAAAGTCAGTAGGAACAAAGATCACTGGATACCGGTGATCATTATCTAGTCTACCGAAGCGATCCTTTTCTCCACCGCTGCAAATTTTACATGCCCGGTCAAGCGGTCGTTGACCTTATATAATAGAAAGCAGGACAATATAGTTTACGTGCGCTCTGGACTCTGGATCGATACGCAAAAACCATATGTATATCATATACATTATCATTATGTGCATAACATAGCATGCTCTGTCGCTGTGTGTATATTCTGTAAGGGTAGGAATAGGCTATCAAACCCAAACCTTTTCGCAGGTTCTTGATTGTCAGAAAAATGTTTATAAAAGGCGGTATGAACCCCCAATGCTGCAGATATAGGCCTGGCGTGCTTGTAGGTGCTTGTATTATATCCTGGATGCTGTCCGTGTGCTAGTTCGCAAACAGGCCACGGTCACGAGGTCTGGTTTATAGATGTGTTGTCCGCCACACACGTTTGCGGGGACACCAACATGCATCCAAGGTTGATAAATAAATAAATAGAGTGACCACAGATACACTCGCCAGAAACGTACAGAACGACCTTATAGAGGTAAGTTGATCCGCGAAGATCAGGCGGTTCCACAAGTGTCATCTGTTGTTGTTCTGTCGAATTGAACGTGTTGCGGTGCGTAGATAAGAGCGCTCCTTGGTGACATTCGTTGTTTCCGATTCCGAATGCAGAAATGTATGTCCAGATACTAATATTTGCTATACACTTGATCTGGCCTGTCGTTCACAATTGACTTTTTCAGTGACAATGTCTTTACATAGCCTCTACCAGACTCACAACGCTGGCTATTTATAGTAGAATATTTGCCAGGAGAGTTTGACCGCCTTGTAGGACCTTGTAGGTTTGACTCGCCTTCGGAGGGAGTGATTTAAGTGCGTCATTTAACTACCTCCTCGCGGCCGGACTCCCTTGGCCAATTTTAATATCTTTTTCCCCCGAATTCTACGATCCGTATTCCCGTAGAAAGGTCTGGTGGAGGCTAGTTTTTATATGCCTCAAATC